TTTAGAATGTACCAACATTTCTTTTTATTTCAAGAAAGTAAAATGTGTAATATAAAAATAAAATCCTTCACAATAAGAATACTCTACTTTGTGGAATAAAATATTATTATCTTGTTAATTACTTATCCTTTAAGGAAACCTAACAGAGAGAGAAACATTGTGACTCAATCCTGGAAACATTAAAAATTGATGTTTGAGTACTCCAGAAAAATTCCCTTTGAACTTATTAAAATAAGTAGAGGTAAAAAAGATTCAAAAATAGCCCCAGAGAATACAGCTTGCTACAGTTTTGGACAAATTCTCTAACTATAGACACATGGTTTTACTCATTCTCACTCATCTTTTCTAATGGTACTGAGAGCCATGGTAGAGGTACAGGGGGTATCTTGTTTATGTGCTCTTCCTCTCTTATGCTAGATTCTATAGTTGTTATAGCTGGGATCTAAAATGGCCCCCCAAAGGCTTGTGTATTCAGAGGAGACTTTTGGAAGGTGACTAGATCGTAAGGGCCCTAATCCACTGATGAGATTCATAATTTGATGGCATTTTTGGACGATGATAAAAACTGAGGAGGTGGGGTCTAGTTGGTTGAAGTAGGTCACTGCGGGTGTGCCCTGGAGTATATTTTGTATTTTAATCCCCCCACCCCCGTGCCTACAGGCGGGCCTGAGGTGAACAGCATTCCTCTGCCATGCCCTTCTGATATGATGTGATATGATGCTGCTGTTTGGCCATAGTCCTAAAATAAATGGATTAGATGGTCTTCTTTCCATAGCCTGGCAAAAAAAATAAGTGCAGAAAAATAAATAGACTTAAAGAACCTCAGTGATAACAATACAAACACATAAGATATTATACTTGTGACATCTCTTCTCCACCAATACAATACTATCAAATTCTGGCTAGGAAAAAATGTCTACAAACCATGAGTCAATATTATTTGCTGATAATGAGGTATAAGTGAATTACAGTTCAGTCAATAGCACACTGCTATTGGTAGTAGTAGCTTGCTAATAAGCCTCCTTTCTCTTAAAAGTACTTCCTCCCCAAATGAAAATAGTTACATGTGAAATGTGTTACACAAAATCATTAAATTGGACCTCAAGCTGGAAATATTCAGCCTGGAATTGTATGTATAGGTGTACGAACTTGTTAGTTTACATGAATTCTTACCGTTTCAGGATTGTTCTCAAATACCTCCCTGGCTTCTTCTTTATTACACAATTCTTCAATGCATTCTCTTTCAAGATTACCTTTTTTGGTTTCTTCAAGCAAAGAATTTGCACGACGTTTCCTAACCAGGACTTGTGAAGCACGTTGCTTTGACAAAACTGAAGGAAAAAAAATGTTTTTATGAATAATTTTTTTTACTTGTCTTCCACAATATATTAAATGATAAGAATTTAAATAATTTTTCTGCTGATGAATTACATGACATTTAAAAATGGTATAGTGGAACTAAGTTAAAAATACAGACACATAAGCATTTTGGTTAACAACACAGCAGGTTTAGTGTGCAGCTACAGCAGAATTATAATGCTCAACACAAATTGTTCAAGTTCACACCTGAGTCCAAATATACCAGTTGATATTCATTGTTTACTGTATTATGGGTACAATGGAAAAACATCATGCTAAAATGCTATGTCAAAAGTCATAGGCACACCATCTTCAAAGTGAGATTAATAAGCTTTTCTAAAGCAAGAGTAATAATAGTAATAAACTTTTGGGATCTCTGTGGAGATAGGGAATACAGTACACAGGTACAGTATTTGAGAAGTAGCTGATAGACTAAAATATTCAATTATTCATACAAACAGGAAGATAAAAATTCATGAAAAAAGATCTTATTCCAAGCATAAAATATACAAGGCAAATAAAATGGCAACTTTGCAACTTTGACTACATAAAAATTTTTTTAACAGTTGAACAATAATAAAAATAACATAGCAAATTTCAATACTAACCAAAGCCTGGAAGAAATTATTTACATCAGCTAGAATAGAAAAATTACATCCAGAACTTAAAGGAAAATTTTGGAAATAAAAAAACCCCATAAACCAACCAATACTGGAATATGTGCAATGTTGTACATAAAATCACTTAAACAACATAAACAGGTGCTGGGGATGTAGCTCAGTGGTAGAGTACTGGCCTTGTATGCCTGAGGCCCTAGGTTCAATCCCCAGCACCAACAAACAAAACAACCCTCCCCCGCCAAAAAAAGAAAAAAAGGGCAGGGATTTAGCTCAGTGGTTCAGGCACCTGCCTTCCAAGCACAAGGTCCCAAGTTCAATCCCCAGTACCAAAAAAAAAAAGAAAAGAAGATTAAAAATCAAAAATTAGAAACAAGGAGAAAATTAGAAACAATAGAAAATTATAATATTATTATTGTGTATCTTTTCTTTGGTGTGGGATAATAAAAACTTTTAAAAGCCAAGATGACACTCTTATACTGAAGATCTCCAAGATATAAGTGCAAGTTGTAGAATTCTATGTCCATAATGTAATCCTATATTGATCAGCCAGAGCTGCTTAAGAAAATAATGGATAATGTGAAAGTTTTATCTTTATAATTTTAGAATGTTGAACAGAACATAGTTTTATTTTCTGGTAACTGTTTCTTTTGGAACAGGGTCATGCTATGTAGTTCGGACTGGCCTTGAATTCAGTTGGTAGGCCAATCTTGAGCCAATACCGTCTCAGCCTAAGTTGGATTACAGGTGTGTGTCACAACACCCAGGAGAACATAGTTTTTAATGAAAAATTTAAAAGGCACAAATAAATTTTGCAAATAATTTTCATACAGGTTTTATCACAAATAGTTCTTTCCCTAAGCAGACAAGTAATAGATAAATGTATTTTCCTTTTCTATTATTGTATTACCTGTAAATAATAAACAATGTGCACTCAAAAATTTACTAAAGGAGGAAAAAGAAAAAGGAGTAGTTCGAGGTCACCATACTAATTGATTAAATAACTGAAAATTTTTCAATAGTGAAATCGGTAATGCTACTTTATTTCTCTTATTTGCCAAAAGAGAAATTTAAATGTGATGGCTAAATAAACAGTTTGGGTTGTACTTATAGCTCTGTCTCTTACCATCATTGTCATTTAAAAAAGACTAAATCAAGGCTGTGTGTGTATAAAAAACAGATGTGAACATGTTACCTGTCACGTGTATTACTGACTGATAAATGGCAATTCTGTCAACAGTAAAGGAGCCTAATATGTATAAATATCTCATATATTTGAAGTAGTTTTATACATGCTGCTTTGTAATCAATATGGAAGAAATGTGGACCTTCTGAACTTCAAAGCAAATATGTGATTTTTCCTGGAGAAACAATAACACTTTCAATGGAAAATGAAGACATTAATCCAATAATAAAATGAAAAACAAACAGGTCAAAAAAATTTAGATAAAGATAACCATTAATTCTTTGGCATTTCTCCCATTAAGATTATGAAGTTTGGTGGTTAAGATCTTGATAATATTTTAAGAATATATCCTTTTCTACTTGGGTCCCCATGACAGGACATAGGCCAAGTACAGTAACTCGATATTAGTGTCTGTGTAACAGTCAGTTGCCAACCATTCATGCAGAATCAAGGTGGTGGTTTAAAACAATGCCCACCTAAGTTTATTTTTGAAAAGGAATAAAATAACCTCCACCATTTTAAAAAAAGATGAGTCAATTCAATAATATGTAATATATTTGTACTAAATTATGAATTTAATGACAAAACTAGAACTAGATTATAAACATCCTAGTGCTCAGACCTGCAGGCTGCCCTTCACTATTTACTGCTTCTCAGAAAAGAGGAAGAAGTTTTGTTTTCTCCACTGATGAGCAGAATATTAAAAAAAAATGCTATACTTCTAATTATGTTTTATTTTACCTAGACTCACTACAATTAATAATTTGGCATGATAGTTAATAATTTTCAAACTCTATACTATTTCATTTGGCCTTCGTGTAAATAATGAAGTGGACTATAGGACAGAATTGTCATCTCATTTTCCTACTGCAAAAATTGAAGCTGAAAGAGGTCACAGAGCTAGCAAGTTGTGGTAATGGAATTCATACAGATGCTCCTTGAATTTCTGTGGGATTATGCACTGATAAACCCTGAATTTGGAAGTATCATAAGCCAAAAATGCATGTAATAAGCATAACCTACCAACAATCACAGTCTGACAGCACAGTATACTACAGAACGTTGACTGTTTGGTAATTGTAAGGCTGATTATTATTATTAT